GTAACTTGTAACTTGTAGATACATTCACGTATCTCTTTGCACGCATCTACATATGGGAAAGCCCATGACGACCCAGACGTGGGGACTAGAGATGTGCCCAGAGGCTTGCTGTCGTGAGTCTTTCTCCAAAAGAAAAGTCAGAGAAGAGCAAGAGAGACTTCCATCTATTGCATCGATGCGCCCAAATATGAATATCTTTCTCGCTCACGCTCTCATCTCTAGCTGTGGGGAATGGACAAAAGTTAATCACCGTTGCCGTTTAGCTCACTGAGCTTCTTTGTTGGAGCTCAGCTCGCGCTGTGGCAGCTGGAAGCTGAAGCTTGTATTTTTCTTTGTATCTGCAGTTGTGGAGAGCTGTATCTGAAGCTGTTGCTGGATCGCATAGTTTACATTTTATAAGTTAATTGAGTTAACTGTTCAACGCCGCTCTCCCCACCCCACTCTCTCACTGTTTGTATCTGTATCTGTATCTCTCCGTTGGTCATTTGCAGATGCAGATTGGCTGCATATCCGCCAGTGCATCTGGCAGATACAGTACATTGATCAATGATTGCATGGCCAGAGCGATCTATTTATCTGTAGATGGTTCGGTTCTTTTCCTGCTTTAATTATAAATATTTGTGCACCTTTTTTTTGCCGTCTACCAAATGGCTTGTAAATCTGCTGCATAATTCGTGTTGCGGTTGCACACATTTAAATTCAACAAAAACCCAGCCAAATCCCAACCAAACAAAAAAAAACTAGCTGCAACCAAGAATTAAATGCCTTTTTGTTGTTTAATTGCCAGAATATTTCACATTTTACATCGATACATACATACACACATACATACACACATACATACATACATATGTATGCATTCGCCTACAAATATTTTATTCGTTTTTATTGGCGGCTATTCTCTTGTATCATTTGTGCATTTCATTTCTATGTTTTGCTCATATTTTTTTGTTTTTCAAAGCTTTTTCTTTTTTGGTTTTTCAGTTTTTCGTTTTGTGTTTTTTTCCACATTCTGTTTGTGTGAAATAATAACCCAAATAACAGCGGATAACTCTTTGTAAACGATTTGTGTATTTGGTTTATCTCTGATTTCCACTTTAATTCATTCATAAATACTAGATGATACTCGCTTGAGAGGGACAGTGCGGTTGGTGATTGTAAGTCATTCAAATCGAACTGAAAACCCTATTAAAAACAACACAAATCGGTGATATAGCCCTCATATATTTCTAATATGCTTTAATTCAACAAAAATGTGTAGCTATTAATCTTTGAGTTCCATTATCGTATGGGGCTAGATGTAGGCTATAATTCGATGCACTTACGCTTGCGAAACGCACTGCACCTAAACAAGTTTCAATTGAAACTTTATTGAATTATGAAATTTGTTGACCAGCCAAGCTCTCGGATTCACATTTAATGGATGAACAATCTCATCCGCCTGACAAATATTTGTCACATGAGAAACACTTTTGGGGTAAATGCAAAACTTTCCGCAGAACGATACAGCAGGGAATACCCTGGATAACATCCCACCGACACCCCCCACTCTCCGATGTATAATGACCATTCCAAATGGCATTCAAATGGTGTCAATAGCTCTACTATTGCTCTGATAGTTGGTCAAAGCAACTTCTACCTTCGGTTTGGGTTTTGCTGACGTCAAAGTCCAATGTGTGACCAAGGGGCTTGGCCCACGCCTCAGAAGAAACTTGTTTGGGGGGGTGGGGGGCCTCAACCGGGCATCTGATACACGAGTGTCTGTGTCTGTGTCTGTGTCTATGTTATCGTTTGCGGATTTCAGGTGTTCCGTTCCGTTTGCATTGCGTGGGCCCTGACTCACCCAGCCAAATAGATTCAACGACTACTGGCGGCCCTGGCAGAGTTCCGTTTCACTTTTTCTGCACTTTTCAGAGATGTTTGCCAAATTTTCTGGGTGCTGCGGCTGCTGGCTGCTGCTGGCTGCTGCAATCTCAACAGAATTTGTCGGCTGCCGCGGTTTAGTGTCGTTTCACACGTAAGTTTCAGAATGTGTGTGTTTTTGTATCTGCGAGATGCATTTGAGGCATTCTTTGAATGTTTGCTTGCCTGTTTGCTTGTTGGTTTTGTTTTGTACAGTGCACACTCGCTTTTGTCTGTTTGTTGTTTTTGGCTGGTACTCTTCGTTAGAGTAGGGTATTAGGATTTCGTGGAGGTCTCTGTTAGGCAGAGAGGCAAGTGTTTCCCAATTTGAATTTATTATAGAAGTAGATAGCCTGATCCTCAGCTAAATTGGTAGCGTTATATAACGGATACGTAATATTTTCTCTTAGTTCTGATTAGCTTTTCTGCTGTAAAGTTGGGTACACTATATCAGGGTGCTAGGTAATCGGAAGCTTTATATTAGTACACAAAAGTCGAACCAAATCGGCCTACATATCCCTTGGAAATATCATTGTAATAATCGTTCTTTAAGTGTATCTTAAGCTTCGTTTTATTTCACCCAAAAGCTTGACTTTTTCTTTCTTTTCTTTGCTTTGTTTTGGTTTATCGCTTCGGTGTCTTATCTCACTCTCCCTTCGCCCTCGCCGCCGCCCTCGCCTTCGGTTTCTTCTCTTCTCTTTTGTTTTAGTCGCGCGCACGAAATATTCACCTGAGCCACAAAGAGCATTGATGAATGAACCGAGCGCCGGATGGATGGTGGAGAGCGATGAAGGGGTGAGGACGGGGGGAATTACCGATAAGCGATGACTGTGTGGCGGCGGCAGAGTGGAGTTCCCTTGGCGGATCGTCTTCAGGTATTTTGTTGTTGTTGTTGTGCTTCTGCCGTTGCCGTCGATTCTTGTGATTCATATTTCGCATTCGGATTTGCACATTGCGCTGGTTAGGCATTTCTTGCCCCAGTCCACCCCCCTCCGTCCCCTGCGCCACTCAGTGCCTTACTCTCAGACCCCCTACTGCTGCCTGCTGTTGCTGTTGCTGCTGCTGCTGCTGCTGACTCCCCTGGCATTTCTGTCGTAATTTGCCTCAAGTTTTGTGTTTTGTGTGAAATATTTACGTGCAGACAACATTCCCCCATTTCTAAAGACTCAGGAGAAACACTCACAGTTACAGATACAGATACTCGTACTCGTACTCGTATCTAGATACTAGTCGTAGTTGTAGTCGTAGTTTTCCTTGGCATTTTTACCCACATTTATTTTCGGTGCATTTCCGCCTGCCATTTGCCAGAGAGCCAGCCAGCCGCCCTACAGAGCAGCCGCCTGACTCCTTTTCACCTGTGCACGCGGAAAAAACTTAAGAAGGAAAAAACCTTCAGAATAGAGTGGGTCTAGCAATGGTCTGATGGAGAAGATGGAATACCCTGGCATTAGTAGATAATATTATATTTTAGGTATTCAATGTAGTTCAGAAGAGGTATTCCCTCGTGGTGGAGCTATGAAGTCGAACAACTTTGATATTTAGTACCTAATGTTTTCATTAAATGAAAATCTTTTGAATAAGAACAACACCTGAAACAGCAAATGAAGAGAAAATTCTTTAGGGATTTTAGGATTTTCCCCTTGAGTGTCCTTTCTTCTTTGAAATCACCTGAAACAGCTTTCCACAATTTTCTTAAAGGGTAAGAAAAAGTATTTCTTCTGCTATTCATCTCTATGCTTTACTTTTGGCATAAACATTTCCTAAACTTTTATCTAATTCAACGAAACTGCATCCAGACACAGCGACAGACAAGCAACAGCAGAGGCAGCAGCGGCAGCAGAGACAGCAGCAGCGGCATTGCCTTCATCCATTTTGCAAGGTTCCCAAGACATTTCCACATTTTCCGACGCATTGTTCTTGTTGTTATTTCTGCTGCTGTTGCTGCTCTTGTTGTTGTTGTTGTGTGCTTCATCTTTGAGCTTTTGTTTTTTCTTATTTATTTTTTCTTCATTTTTTTCTGTTATTTTTTTTGTTGTGTTGTGTTCAAACTCGCTTCGCATTTTCCGCGTGTTTCAACTTGTTAGGCATTCAACTTTTCACATCGGTGCTCTGCTTCTTTTTTGCCTCTCCTCTCTATTTGTTTCCTCCTCTTTTTCTACTTTTTTACACCGTTTTCTTCTCACTATTTCTCTTTATTTTCCACGAAGGTTTTTCCTTAGGTGTTGCTGTTTTTTTTTTTCGGACTTTGGTTTCGGTTTTATGCAACACACGCCACTTGCCACTTCAGTCCATGCCACACACACACACACACCAAGAATACACCACGAAATACTCTTTGTTTTGTGTCGCCCTGAGACTGAGAGGCGCCTCCAAAAAGCAAGGGGTGGCAGCTGCCTCTTGGATTATGCAATGCTCCTCCTCGCTTTTGTTGAATTTATTAAATTTCTTGAGCATAAAATGCACTAATTTATTAGCTCCTCAACAATCTGCAATCTCTATGTGTGTATCTGTACCTGTATCTGTGTGCTTCCATCTGTAACTTTTTTGTGTGCGTGTGTGTGTGTGCACCTTGAAACTTGAAGACAGACTACAAAACTGCCTCTGAGCCATTGTCTTCTTTTGCTCAACTTGAAATGTTTCTTAGATTAATGCGAATAGGAGACGACACTCTGACACTAATGAAGGTCAAAGGTGGCCCAGAGAGTGGCTTGATTAGCGGGCGGCAATGGTGGGGTGGGTTGGTGGCCGAGGACAGAAGGCAATTTGTTGACAGCTTAAGAATGATTAAATATATAAACTCTTGCAGCAGTCAAGAGTCTTTTGTATGTGTGTTGAAATTGCTGGGAAACAACACAAAGGCCAACCCAGAGAATAGAGAACACAAATCATTTGATGGAATCTCAAAGTTTGAATTAAAAACTAAAGGAAATTGTATGCTGAAAATGGGGATGGATTAAGGTGTCAGATTGGGTTGTTAAAGATCATCGAATGGATCGAGAAAAGTCTTTATAATTGATTAAATTGTGTGTCTCTTTTTTAAACCATAAAACTATAAAAATTTTAATTTAAATGGTATTTCTTGTTTTTAGGAAGAAAGGATGAGTAAGCCAAAGCAAACGACCAAAGAGAAACATAGTCTTATATTTATTGGCATGGATACTACATCAAAATACTACGCTACATAAATCGAGACAGAGGGTAAGTAATTCAATATATATGTGTATAATAACCCCATACATATTACTCATATGATTGAATGTAAGAAAGTTCTACAATTTGTATACAGATATTTTCTTGATACTTTCTGCACACTTTCTGCACGCTCCCCGTTTCAAGCTACTCTCTCTACTCCTTTGATCTAACTTCATTTATGTTTAAAACAAACCCAAACCCAAACACAGAACAAACTTTTGCACATTCATGCGAGTATCTTTTCCATATATGTATGTATGTATGTATGTATCTTTTCCATAACTTTTCCACTTTCCGCAGAAACACATAAAAAGAAAAGCAACCCAAAAAAAAACAACTAGAAACAAAACTAAACCATTAAGAAATCAGGTCTTTGGGTCTTTTCTTTTTGTATTGTGGGGCCTTTATTATTATTACGAGTATTTCTGTTTCAATTTCAGTTTTTGGCTCTAGAAACGGTCTCTGGGTTTTCGCACCTTTCCCTCTATGCTTGGGGTATACCCTCCCCTCGCACCATTCGATAGGTGTGTAAAAAAAAGAAGCAAACTTGACATAATTACAAAAAAATATTACACAAAAAACGAATGAGAAAAGTATAAAAAAAAGACAAAATGCAATGCGTATGAATTTTTAAAAAATAGCAAACGCAATAATTTTTCATATTTTTCTGTGCAGTCTGAAAAAAAGCTCAAGGCAGTGTCACTCCTCGAGAGAGAGAGAGAGAGAGAGAGAGAGACCCCCCGTCTGATGTCATTGAGTGGAAGCGTGATTTATCTGTATCTGTAGCTGACGATGAATCTGCACCGGGGGGGCATGGGTATCTGTATCTCTGCACTTGTTCCCATGAATGAATCTGCAAACAACAACAACAACAAAAAAACTTCAACAGAAAGAAACGAAACAGAACAAACGTGGGGAAAAGTGAATGAATTCGCAACGCAACGCAACGAATTGAATGGAATACTTTAGTGAATATTTAAATAAATTTAATCGCAAAGATTTGTGTAAACAAAAGGCCCAGCGAGCGAAAGAGTAGCACACCTTGTGGGATCATTCACTCGATATTCTCGCACCATTCCAGAAAGTGCTAAAAAGATGAATGACCATCTATATTCGGGCGATCCACTCGAACGCTCGTAGAGATTCAAATCGGAGAATCGATCCAAAAGTGGGTGCGTGTGGCGGCAGCCCACACACAGAATGTAATGTGTGGCTCTGGCTCTCCATCGATCGTTGGCCAGCCAGTCCTTCCTACACGACGCAGCACACGCACATCCCAGCCATTCAGCAGATACTATTTGGGTAGAACAAAAGAAACTGTAGAACAGAGTCAGTCTGACGGCAGAGGCAGTAGCTAAGGCCAAGCAGTCGCCAGAAGTAGCACTTGTTTGAGATCCGAACAAAAGATAGCGAAATGTGGAGCATGGAAGCAGCCCACATGGAGAGAAATCAGAGGACAAGAGTCCCATCAGAGATGGAGGGCAAAGCTATAAGTTTTTCCATTTTTTTCATTATTAATACGTTTTTAGATGCATTTCGATTTAGTAAATAAAGAAAATTACCGATTTTTAATGCAAATAATATTAAATACTGATATTAAATTAAACTAAAATAAAATTAAATTATTATTAAATAAATATTATAAAGTGCATCAATATTCATGAAATAGTTTGCAAATAAAGAACACGTTGGTGGACTAGACGAGTATCTAGTCCGCTTTTGATCAAGAATAGCTTATAGAATCTACCATTCTTTCTTTCCTGTCTGCATAGTAAGCAGTAAAAGAAAGTCCAAATTCCTTTAAAAAAGAGTATCAAAAGGAGTAACGCAAAACCCAAACCCGATACTTTTATAGATTGCGTATACGCAATGTGGCACCCCCATTGCAGAGAGAAAAAAACATTGAGGCGGATGGATGCTGCTGGAGCCAAAGGAAATGCAGTTAACCCAAGCCCACACCCCCCACCCCCTTTTTGCCCAACAAATAAGGCTACAGAGTGACAAGCACAGATGTTTTTACAACCCAAAAGCCACACAGATGCCTTGGCACTTCCAAATGCAGATTCAGATGCAGATGCAGAGACAGAGATACAGATACATTCAGCTTTGGATACATTTCAGTTTTCGAGTTGAATTTTTGGCAAGTTTCAAGCCAAGGGATTTATTATTGAGGGCGGTGAACGGGGGGATGTAGGGAGACGACGACTCCTCCTACGACTTACCAAAAGGGAAATGTGTTGACTCTTTTTTGTTTTGTCTCTCAAGCCATGCGGAAGGGGGATGCTCGCGCTGTTGTTGCTCTTCTCTCTCTGTCTCTTCTGCTGCTGCAACACCCCGTAAGCGGATGAGGAACAAGCTGCTGCGGTCGTAGATCCTGGCCAGCAGTTCCTCTAGCACTCAATTTATCGGCCCAGCAAGGAGGTCCTTGGGCTGCCTTTCTGCTTTCTTTCTTACTTTCGTATTCGTATTACCCTTTTTTTTCCAATACCGTTAGTCGCGTCGACGACTGCTTTTGCCCGGTTGCCGTTACAAAGTACCGTTCACTACTGAGCCCGTTTTTTATGCGCTCCGATACTTTTATAGATTCGCAATGTGCTGTGCGCCTTGTGGCAGACTGAGTGCCGTGCCTCTAAGGTAAGGGGGGTGGGGGCGCCTGAGTCTTGTTTGCCGTGTTAGTAGTTTTGTTGTTTCGCTTTTTTTCACCCCTTTGTGTTGCAGCAGTTGCCGGCCGGCCACCGCGCTTCCACCGTCCTCCCCCCCGTCGCGTCGCTCCACTCTCCTTCTGCCCATGGGGAGGGGGGAGAGAGAGAGAGAGCCGCCAGGTGCACAAACATGTTCGAAGTTCGAATGAAGCACGCGTCGGTCGGGCCGGGTCGGCCGTTGCCAGGCAGGCCATTCGTCGTTGCTTTTGTCGTGGCTTTTGGGCTTTGGGCCGCGAAACGGTAAACGTCCAAAAGGAAGCACAGCTCAAGGAAGTAAGACATAGAGAGGGAGAGAGAGAGCGAGATGGCAGCAGTGAAGGAACATCTGCTATTGCAGGTGCCACTGCAGTGGAGCGGCAGGGGAGCCGCAGACGTTGAAACAATTACCAAGTTGCTCTTAGACTTTACTCTTCTCTCCCCCTTCTAAGCCCACCTTTCAATCAACAACTGAAGTGTATTTCTGTGTTAGGCGCCAGCATCCAATTCCCTCAATTTATCAAACAATTATTGTAGACACAGCACCCTCATATCACGCGGCTAATCAGGGAAAGACAGGGCCTCGCTTGGGTTGCTCTGCCACCGGGAAGTGGTGCTGCTTGACAGCAGACTTGCAGTGATTGAGATGGGAATAGGAATTAAAATACGGAAAGAGGGGAAGCAGATTTGCATGGTACAGGGTATATTTCTATAAGGTAAGGAATTTTCCTCTACCTTTTATAGTTTTTCAATGGTTTTTGAAGAGCATCAAGGCCGCACCTTGCATAAATACAACTTGGAAGACAGCATATTCGCAATAGGAGAGGAATAGAGAGAAAGGTACTCAGCCCTCATCAGCTGTCAGCGGCAGTGGCTTCAGCAGAGGCACAAGATGAGGCAGCATCACCAGCAGCAGAAGACGGGGCACGCACCCAGTAGAGGCAGATGTAGAGGCAGCAACATCAGTCCGAAGTGTCTCGTCTCTTTTGATGATGAGCCACGCCACTGATGGATGCACCTCAAAGAGTAGCAGGCAGAAGGGAAAAGAGAGAGGGGACAGCGAACAGACAACAGGGAGCATGCCGCACCGCAACATATCAAAACGATGTTTCGATATGTTAACAAGTCGCTGAACAAAAGAGGCAGAGAGATCAGATGTAGAGAGTGCAGAGATGGCAGATAGCCCACATAAATAAGTATCTTGTATCGGGTAGATACATTTCTGACACCCAATAAACAAGGAGAAGGAGCAGAAGTGACAGCAGCAGCAGCGGCAGCTGAAATTAAAGATATTCCATTTCAGTTGTTAGGCATTTGATGCGAGATTGAGATATGGCAAGGCTATCAATGGGATTATGATGCAGATAATCATAATATGACACATTTTGAGACAATTTTAAACATATTAGGAAATCAAAATTGACAAATAACTGGGATTTCATTGAGAATGAAGCTCAAAAGATATTTCATTGAATTCTTTTGCCATGCTCTCAACAAAGTTAAAGAGAGGCTCCCACCCAAAATAAACTTGTTTATTTAACCCATAAATCACCCCCACTTCTGCCTGCCATCCAGTCACCAAATAATTGATTTCCTTGCACAAATGTTTTTTCAAAAACAGAAAAGAAAATGCCAGGAAAAGCCGTAAATTGAGGGTGAAATGAAATTAAGGCCAACAAAAAATAAAACAGATTTTCTCATAAAAAAAATTGCATTCGCTTAAAAGACAATTTTTTAAGTGCTTATTGTTTGGATGTTATTTCTGTATTTTCGTAGCCATTTTTCACCATTTTCCATTCGTATTTTCACTCTCAATATTTGTTGTTTTTTGTGTTTTTTAATTGCCGTCCCGCCGAAGCACAAAGAAAATAAAACAAAATGAAAACAGAGGAAAAAAAATCATAAAGCCAAAAATACAACACAACAAATGCAAAAACAAGGTGAAAATATTATATATTGCGAAAAGACACAATAAAAACCAAAACATAACAAGCAATAGCAACAACAACAAAAACAAGTAAACGCAGAAAGAGCAAACAACAATAGCAACACAGAGCCAGAGCCTCCTCCTGCAAATCAAACAAAAACGAAATACAAGACGAGCAAAGCAAAAGCAAAAGCAAAAAGCGATTTATGCAAAATGCGGATAAGCCCAATGGCCGCAGAGGGGATGGTAGGGTAGAGGCATCAGGCAGTGGCTGATGGGTGAGAGCAGTGGAAGATGGCAAAAGGCGATTAGGAGGCGATTTAACGCCGCACGCAAAATGAGATCCAATAAAATGCGATTACGTGGAAGCGAGACAGGGCGGAGGAGTGTGACAGGGAGAGGGTGTGTGCGCAAGAGGCGTAGAGGGGTAGAGTGAGAGTGTGATTAACAGAGGGAATGAGACGGAATGCAAATCAAAACAGATGTTTGACAAGAGTGAGACAGGAACAGCAACAGCAACAGCAGCCGCAGCCGCAGCAGCAGTTGGAGCAGAAGCAAAAGTTTGCGAACATAAAAACCACAGACAACAATAGCTTCGAAAGTGCAACAACAGACAGCAGGCAATGTCCTTCGCCTGATGCTGTTGCTGTTGCTGCTGCTGCTCCTCGTTCTTCTTGCTCACCTTCCTCCTCTTCTTCTTATTGTTGTTTACTTGCCGCTGCTCGTGCCACAGAAAGAGACAGAGAAAGAGCTGACGCAATAATATACATATCCTTTGAACAGGCCAAACAAAAATGAGAGAGAGAGAGGAAATCAAGGATTTCAGTCAACTAGTTTTTTCGAGCCTCACCTGCCGCTGCAGCCTGCAGCCAGACGGAGCTGCTGCGGTGCCACACGAGGAAAGGGGATAGGGGGAAACGCTGCCACATGCCGTTGCACTACTCATATTACGATGCTTCCTTTTTTTTTCGCAAAAGACGTAGACGCAGTACTTCGCTTCCTTTAACTGCTTCCACTACTTGTTCTTCCTCGGTTGCTGTTGCTACTTCTTCTCAAGCTCTTTCTTCGTTCCTTCCCCTCTTTCTGCTGCTTATAATAATTATTATGACATGCCGCTGCTGCTGCTGCTGCCCGCCTCCTGGCGCTCGCTGCCACACTCCTTCCCCTAGTGTCTGCTTCCGTTCCAGAGAGCAAGGGAGAGACTACGACAACACGCTAACCGAAAATATGCATTGACCCTGGGATGGGGGAGATTCTTATTGTGAGAGGGGGCGGCGGACAGAGGACAGTCTGCTGCAGCTGCAAATGTCGTCCCGCCTCCCCCTTTGCCAATGTCAATGTGCGATTCATTCTGTAAAACGTTCGTGACGACCGACGCCAAACCGACAGCACAGCACTCACTCTTCCCTCTCTTTTTCATTGACTCTCTTCGAAGTTCGGTAAGAAGCGCGAGGCGGAAAACGGAAAGTGGCTTGTAGTAATTTTATTGAGAAATCCAAAAAGAATAGAAGGCCGGAATAAGGAGGAAGGAGGTAAGCGATATAGAAATAGTAGAGAGAGAAAAGCGAAAAAAGAGACATGGACACAAGCCAATATTGGGCAGGGGGTGTAGCGGGTTGGGGTTGGGGCCCAAGGAATGCGACGCTTGCCGCATAACAATGCCAATGCAACGCATTGCAAGAACAGAGACGAGTACGAGTACGAGTACGACTACGTGTATTTGCCAGATACAAATGTATGTACAGCCCATGTAGTATTCCCCGCACAGTGGGACATTTGGAGGCGTCTCTTGCCAACAGTTGCAGAGCTCCACAACAAAGTTGCCCCAATAAAGCTGGGAGAGGGGGAGAAGAAAACAACAACAGCATCAGTCCAACACCTTGCCAAAAGAGAGTGAGAGAGAGAGAGAGAGCTGCCAACCAACATCTGTTCGAACCTGTTCGATGATTGCGCTCTCAAATGTTGCAAGCCCGCGTAAAACAACAGCTGTTCGAGCATGTTGTGTATAAGAGAGCACAAGAGTGTGCGCTACAACATGTTGGTTAGAAGAGAATTCAAGCCAAGGGGCTCGACTGGTTTGTTGGTTTTGGTTTGATAGAATGGGGGAAATACCATCCAACCAGCCTGACGACTGACGACTGTGGAGAGCCAGACAAGATCATTCGTGTTCGATTTTTGTGATGAAATTGCATCTGTTCAATAAACAGTGTGCACCGTTGATTCAGTACTGAACGAAGAGAAGAGATGATGTCTTGTCAGGCCCCCCCTTTGGAGAGATTTGCCCTTAGAAACCCCCTCTTACCTTTAAATAATCCTTAGAAGTACAAGCTTTCTTTTTTGGGTGGAAATTCTCCAAGGAAGAAGGAGTTTTCCATTATTTTCGGCCATTTCTCTAAAGAACTTCACTCTTTTAGCTCTGGGAGCCCATTAATTCAATGTAAACCATTCAAATGAAATCCATTAGAGTTTATATTTGAGCCGTAAAACGTTTCGGGGGCTTCCTTCAGTGTCCTCTGCCCCTGTGTGCGCCTCTTTTAGCTGCTCCTTGCCCCCAACACACACACACATGGGTAGGAGAACGGAAGCGAAAGTCTCGTCCACAAGGCTCAATTTAAAACCATTCCATGCCTCTGGTTCTGTGCCACGTCCAGGGATTGCTCTTATGCCTCCTTCTGTGCCTCCTATGCCACATTCTATGAGTTCTGCTGCTTCTTCTACTCCTCCTCTCTGGCCGAAGCAGCACACACAATGCCTGGTTCTCTGCTGCTCTTCCTGCACTTTGGGGGCCCAATGGCATTTTGAAAAGCTTATCCCGAAAATATTTGCATAAGATTCAAACTGCAGGCAAGAAAACCGTTTTAGAAACCCCACCCATGCCACCTCTTTACCGCCCACTTGCCCCCCTATGCCTCCTCCTCCTATTGGCGCTGGCT